GAGCCTGATTCTGAGCTGGATCCCAGGACCCCAAGATCATGACCTGAGCCGAAGTCAGATGCTTGACCTACTGAGCCACCCAGGCCCCCCTATCATTGCATACCACTCTTAAAATATTATCTAGAGCTATTTAATGAAGGAAAACATCTATATACCCCCGTTGGTAGTATTTTTTATGCAGGGAACTTTACATTATGTTTTAGGCACTTGTAGTTATAGGAGTAAAACAGGCATAAAATCAAGAACGTGGTGTTTGAGAAAGTGAGGACTTTTTTTTTTTTTTTTTAAGATTTTATTTATTTGACACAGAGCACAAGCAGAGGGAGTGGCAGACAGAGGGAGAGGGAGAAGCAGGCTCCCCACAGAGCAGGGGGAGCCTGATGTGGGACCCAGGACCCCGGGATAATGACCTGAGCAGTAGGCAGTCGCTCAACCAACTGAGCCACCCAGGTACCCGGTGAAGACATTTTTATCAGTTTTCAAAGAAATGTGCAATTAAAACATTAGGCCCCCAAATAGCTTGAGTTTTAGGGATGGTAACATCTGAGTGTGGTGAAATAGTTACATTCAAACACTGTAATTACTTTTTAAATTAGCATAAATCTTTTGGAAAGTAGTATCAGAAATGAATTCAACAACAAAAGTATTTATATTCTTTAAAATTTGTTGCAAACGGGGCACCTGGGTGGCTCAGTCGTTCGTTAAGCGTCTGCCTTCGGCTCAGGTCATGGTCCCAGGGTCCTGGGATCGAGCCCCGCATCGGGCTCCCTGCTCTGTGGGAAACCTGCTTCTCCCGCTCCCACTCCCCCTACTTGTGTTCCCTCTCTCGCTGTGTCTCTCTCTGTCAAATAAATAAATAAAATCTTAAAAAAAAAAAATTTGTTGCAAGGAAATGCTACAATAAAAAGCTAGTCAATCTGTGTTTGCCTCATATATGTCAGGAACTGTGCATGGTGCTGGAAATTTCTAAGGTGAGAAAGTTTTGCTGTTTTCTTGAACTTCTAGATTTGTGGCAACAGACTGTGAGACAAATACATAATCAAATAACTATAACGTGTTGAGTTGTAATTGGGGTGTGTTTTAAATTTGAGGGAGGGGATAATTAACATACTAGGGAATACACAGTAAACATACCAGGAAAGTCATTCTCCAGGATTGGGGGTGGGGAGAGACCATTAAACTGCATTTTGAAGGGTAACTAGGACTTAACTAGGTGGATAAAATGAGACTGGATGTTTTAGGCAAAAGGAATAGCATGAACATGAATCTGAAAGCACATACAGAAAGGTATTCGTTTGACAATAAAGAGCACTTACATGTCCTAGGAGTGGGCATATATGATGAATAAGGTAAGTACAATTCCTGTACCATAGATCTTTCAGTCTAGATATTAAAATTGTTATGAGGTTGGCATTCAGAGATTTCAAACCGGTGGTTCTCTTGGGCCAGATGTGAGTTGAAGGTGTGTTTTGTTTGGCATACACAGTGGTTTTTCTCTCCCTTTTCCTTCCTCCCTTTCTCCACAAATAAGTTGGTGATACTTAAAAATGAGATTTCAGGGCGCCTGGGTGGCTCAGTTGGTTAAGCGACTGCCTTCAGCTCAGGTCATGATCCTGGAGTCCCAGGACCGAGTCCTGCATCAGGCTCCCTGCTCAGCAGGGAGTCTGCTTCTCCCTCTGACCCTCCCCCCTCTCATGTGCTCTCTCTCTCATTCTCTCTCTCAAATAAATAAATAAAATCTTTTAAAAAAAATGAGATTTCATACACAAATGAGCATTGAAGATCTGGCAGCAGTGGGCTAGCATTTTCATGTGCCATTTCCACTGGAATTAAATAGTGGCTACCTACTTTAGAAGGGTTTGCACTTGTGCTCCTCAGTCCTTTTTTTAAACCTGCCACATTTTATTCATTTATATAATTTGCCAGGCTCCTATATGCTTTGAGTTGTGAGCCTTGGGTGAGTGGTTTACTTCTGTCCTTGCCCTTCTAAATTCTTTGACATATTTTAATAGGAGAAAAATAGAAAAATGCATATTGTGTTTTAGGAAAATAACTGTTCAACTGAAAGAGGAATCAACTTAAAGAATACGGAATTCAAGTATCAGTCAACAAATTTAGACTCTATTTTTTATCTAATTCCTGTTTCCTTAATCATATACTTTGGTAATAATACGTGTGATACTATCACTAAGAAGACAAACCTCTGGGCTTTCAGAGTGCCTTGTTTTATCTTTGAGAACCATATAGAAGAATCTGGAATAAGCACTGAAAGAATGTGTAAAAAATAAATCTCCTTTTAAAGTAATCATTTTAGTATTCAGACTATGAACATTTTAGTACTCAGTTTATAGCTTCCTTTTTATTTTTAGTAGGATTCATGCCCAACCTGGGGCTTGAACTCATAACCCTGAGATCAAGAGTTGCGTGCTCTATCAGCTGAGCCAGCCAGGTGCCCCTGTAGTTGCTTTTTACTGAATATTATGTGCTAGGCCCTTCATGTAGATGTTCTCCTTTGAGCTCGGTACGCACCTTTTAATCCAGGTTCAGAGAGTTTAACTTAATTTGTCCAACTCCTTAGTGTGAGAGCTGGGATTCTACCAGATTTCTGACTCCCAACTCCCCCTACCATCCCAGGGAGGTAATCTTGGGTTATTCAGAAAGTGTATCTTCAACATGTATTTCACATGTGTTTACTGAATGTGGGCAAATGCTTACTATTCAGAGGTATAAGAAAACTGCTTCTCTGCATTGGACTTATAATTAGTTGAAAAGGCAGGCATTTATGTAAAATAGATAACAGTAGAGGGGAGCATGAGTTAAATACCAAGTGATTGATAGAAATGCCAGGGAGGCCCAAAACTACAACAGTATCAGGGAGAACAGAAAGGAGGAGACTGCTAGAAATGACTGAGGTAGAGAATCATGTAACTTTGTGAGAGAATGTGAGGGTAGTGAATCAGAGAGTAGGCAAAGATGATTTACCAAGCTTTCCAGTGCTGGGTAATTGAGTGGAATTAATACTTCACAAATAAAGGTTATCAGAAGAGGAACAGGCTTTGGTAGAGACTGCTGAGTTAGTTGTTGTTTATTTTGTTTTGTTTTTGTAAGCTCTGTGCCCAGTGTGGGGCTTGAACTTACGACCCTGAGATCAAGAGTGGCTTGCTCTACCAACTGAGCCAGCCAGGCACCCTGGTGGGGGATAGATTTTTAATGATTCAGGTAAATAACGAAAGAAAATAAAAGAATAAGCATGGAATATAATATCATCAGCAAACAGAAAATCAGCATAAGGTATAGTCTCCATTTCCACTTTATCTCATTTATTCTTAGTCTGATGGCCTTTTCTTATTCCATGTGAGATCTTAAGGTTAAAGTTATTTTAGTTTTGTACATATTGAATAGATTCTTCATTAATATTCATTTTCTATATTTTGATTTCTTTTGAAAATAATTTACCTTACTGCTTTTACAGGTAAAATCTTTTGAGGAAATTAGTGGTCTATTATTTTAATAATAACTTTATTAAGATATAATTCACATACTCTAAAATTCAGTCAGTGGTTTTCATTGTAATGGCAGAGTTGTGCAACCATCACCCCTATCAATTTCAGAACATTTCATTACCCCCAAAAGAAACTCCATACCCATTAGCAGTCACTTCTTGTTTCCGTTCCTCCTAGCCTCTGGCAACCAGTGATCTACTTTTTCTTTGTATGCATTTGCCTATACTGATATTTCATATAAATGGGATTATAAACATGTGGCCTTTTATGACTGGCTTTTTTTTTTTTTTTTAAGATTTTTTTTTATTTGAGAGAGAGAGAGAGACAAAGACGGAGCATGGTCATGGGGGAGGAGGCAGGGGGAGGAGGCGGAGGGAGAAGCAGACTCCTGAGCAGGGAGTCCGATGCGGGGCTCGATCCCAGGACCCTGAGATCATGACCTGAGCCAAAGGCAGATGCTTAACCGACTGAGCCACCCAGGTACCCCATTGTGACTGGCTTTTTTCACTTAGCATGTTTTCCAGGTCCATTCATGTTATAGCATGTATCAGTACTTCATTTTTTTTTTTATGACTGAATAATATTACATTGGATATACTCATTTATATAGTCATCAGTAAATGGACATTTGTACTGTACTTTTGGGCTCTTATGAATGCTACTGCCATGAACATTTATGTATACTGTTTTTTGTGGACATAAGTTTTCAGTAATCTTGGGTGGAATTGCTAAGAGTGGAATTCCTGGGTCGTATAGTAACTCTGTGTTTAACATTTTGAGGAATTTTCAGACTACTTTTCAAAGTGGCTATACCATTTTGCAGGCCTACCAGCAATGAATGAGGGTTCCATTTCTCTACTTCCTCACCAGTGCTTATTATTGTCTACTCTTTTATTTATTTAACTTAGTGAATGTGAAGTGGTACCTCCTTGTGGTTTTGATTTCCCTAATGACTGATGATGTTTGAGCATCTTTCATATGCTTATTGGCCATTCTTTGGAGAAATGGGTATTAAATCCTTTGCCCATTTAAAAATTTGTATTCATCTTTTCATTGTTGTCAGTGGTCTCTTTAAAAAGATGGGTGTTTTTTTAACTTATAAATGGCATTTTGTAACAGATGATGGTAAATTTTTCATGTGTATTAGTGGTGGACTTTCAGGTTTAAGTAGTTGTTAATCTAGTGTATTTTAAAGCACTGGTCTTCATTAGCCATCATTTTAAAAAGTCTTGTTAAGATTTAACTTTAGGGTGATTAGTTCTGTCCACTAGACTTGATGGAGCATGCCCCTATAATAACAAGAAAACCTAACTTTAATATTCTTTGGAAGGTCAAAAACAGCAACATTTTAATTTATTTAAAACTCTAAGCACCAAATTTAAATTATGTGCATTGAGTCTTTGACTTAACTGGAGCAGTTCTATCTTTTCCCAAGTAACTGAATCTACTTTGTGAAATGTGTTTTAATGTCTGTGTCTCATTTTTTTTTTTTTTTAGGTTATCCTGAATACCACATGCCTAATACTTTTCCTTGCAACATTAGCCATTGTTTTTCACTGCCTCCAAAAGATCAGAATTTCTCCGGAAATTGGAGACATATTTGATTTAAAAGAAATAACTGTAACAAATGGACAATATGTCAATTACAAATACACCAACAAGTAATGATGCCTGTCTGAGCATTGTACATAGTTTGATGTGCCATAGACAAGGTGGAGAGAGTGAAACATTTGCAAAAAGAGCAATTGAAAGTTTGGTAAAGAAGCTGAAGGAGAAAAAAGATGAATTGGATTCTTTAATAACAGCTATAACTACAAATGGAGCTCATCCTAGCAAATGTGTTACCATACAGAGAACATTGGATGGGAGGCTTCAGGTTAGTCTTGTTTGAGAGTTCTTCTATGTCTTTTGTAGTGGCAGATTAAAAAATTCTTGCTTCCTCTTAAGTTACTATTAAATAATTTAATGTTTGCTCCATCTCTTCAGATACTGTACATCCTATACCAGTATGCATTATGGGAATCTATGGAAGAATATATTCTTCCACATAATAAAGATATATCTTAAAAGTTTTTTAATGTTCTAAAAAAAAAATTCAATTTGGAAAATAAAATAAAAAGCAGAAGAAACGCCATACCTTTAGCACTTTGGTATTCATCTTTGTAGCTTTTTCCCTCTTTTTTTTGTATTTTATGTACATTTTAAAACTGAGTTATACTTGGTCCTTTTATAACTTAGAAATCTGATACTGTATATGTTTGGTACTCACATATGAAAAAGACTCTAAAAGAGTTCAGGTATATCTTTAAAACTCAAGGAGTTAAAAGCTTATATTTTATACAATTTTTTAATCTTTCATTTTCACTGATTACATTTTTTATATAGAAGTACATCATGGGGGCGCCTGGGTGGCTCAGTCGTTAAGCGTCTGCCTTCGGCTCAGATCATGATCCCAGGGTCCTGGGATCGAGCCCCGCATCGGGCTCCCTGCTCCACGGGAAGCCTGCTTCTCCCTCTCCCACTCCCCCTGCTTCTGTCCCCTCTCTCGCTGTGTCTCTCTCTGTCAAATAAATACATAAAAATCTTTAAAAAAAAAAAAAAAAAGAAGTACATCATGTATCTCCTGTGCTGAATATATATATTTTTAAAGATTTTATTTAGCAGGCTTCCCGTCGAGCAGGGAGCCCGATGCGGGGCTCGATCCCAGGACCCTGGGATCATGATCTGAGCCAAAGGCAGACGCTTAACGACTGAGCCACCCAGGCGCCCCATCCTGTGCTGAATATTTTTAAAGAAACATGCAGAAATATTATGTCATTTAGATTTAAAAATTTTATTTCTAGATTTTAGGAATGGTTACTTCAACAAACTCATCCTTTTTTTGCATTTTAAAAACCTGAGCACAGGTCTTGAAAAAATACCTTAGTTCATAAATGTTTCTCATTTATGAAATGGGGATTATAATACTGACGTTGTAGGATTGTATGAATTAAATGAGAACATATATAAAGTGCCTTGTTTAATGTGTAATGCATAACTGATGATCAGTAAGTGGTCGTTTGTATTTCCTAGGTGGCCGGTCGGAAAGGATTTCCTCATGTCATCTATGCCCGTCTCTGGAGGTGGCCTGATCTTCACAAAAATGAACTCAAACATGTTAAATATTGTCAGTATGCGTTTGACTTAAAATGTGATAGTGTCTGTGTGAATCCATATCACTATGAACGAGTTGTATCACCTGGAATTGGTAAGTAGACTTTGCTTTTATCCTCAGATGCCCAAAGGGAAAAAATCTCAGTAGTGTTTTAATTTTTCTACGTTAAATTATAAATTTGGATATAGCCCAGGACTTAAAAGGATCAGATATTTTTAATGAAATATGAATATTTAAATTTGAACTTTAGAATAGATTTGTATTTTGATTGCTAAAACTATGTGTACACTATAGTTCATGTTCTGCCCATTTAGAATGTTGTTTTTGAAAAATAAGATGGAAGGCATTATTGAATTGTTTATGTATTGGCAGATAGCATTTATACTACTCTTCTTGAATTGAAATAGTTCACGAAGTTTTGAATCTCTGGGTTAAATTTACATTTTGTAATTTTAAATACAATGGAAAATATTTTCATGGTAATGATTAATGTTTCATTTTCTTTTCCCCTTTAAAAAATTAAGATCTCTCAGGATTAACACTGCAGAGTAATGGTAGGTAATCTGTTTCTTGTAACTTTCTCTGTTTTCTTTTATTCTGTCCCCTCTATTTTTTATTGACCTAAAATTAGTTTGTGTGGGTGCTGGTAACATTTGCAAGAAAAATACTCATTGCTTTGGAAGTGTAGATTTTTGGGGAGCATGCATCAGTACTTAAAACTGGATTTAAATAGGCTGGTGGTACTTTGGATTTCAACTACCATTTATACACTCAAATGGTCTAAAAAATATGATAGGGGAATATAAAACATATAAAGAAAGAGTTTTTTTTGAATTGGTAAAAACTGGCTATTTTGGAAGAAAATCTCAGCCAGTTTAAGTGGGTATAAATACCTGTAATGTTTGGTAATTTGGAGTCATGTATAGCATGTCCTTTAGAAATACCAATATTCTAATTTTTCTTTGTTTCTCCCTAATTTATTTTTAGAAATGATAATTTTAAGTATGATTTAAAACTACATATATTAACATTTTTTTTGGTCTTGTTAACATTTTGAGTAAATAAAACAAGTCTACTCTCACTTTCATAGATGATCTAATTCTCTTTTAAAAAGGAGTGTGTTGAGTTAGGAAAATGAAATCATTGGGGGGGGATGTTGTTTTTTAGTGTAATATTTGAGAACAGATATGTTAAAACTTAGTTTTGTTACTCAGAACATGTTAATGAACTACAATTTTTATAAGAAGTAATTAATTTGCAGAGCAACTCTGATAAAGAACCACCATTATCTTAGATAGGTATGCAATTGTTCTGGAGGGAAATTAGTGGGTTGGCACTTCTTGTTGCAGAATCTTAGAGGTAAGTCAGAAATACCATCTGACCTTAAATAAAATTTAGGAAGAGCATGAAAGTCTACTTGTTTTTACTGTCCACTTTCCTTCCATGTCAGTGTAATAGAGGAAGACTAGTGCCTTTTGGTACTTGCTAATGGTTAGTGGGTTTCTGAGAATAGTGGGTTGGTAATATGGTAGTGATCTGGGAAGGGTAGCTCTAAGATTGGTTAAATTCCTGCCTCTTTGCTACACAGATACTGATATTATGTTATTTATTTTCTTTGAAAGTAAATACCCTTCAGATCTTTACCATTCTCCATTCCTGATTTTGGAGAATTAAAGTATTCAGCTCAGTAGGGATTAAGGATTGGGGGCCTATAGTGATACTTATACCAGAATCTTCTTAGTGGGAGTGGTTGTGAGGAGATCCAGTTTTGAAGACTCATTACACTCCTCCCTTATCCTAACATGCTGCTGCTGTTATGAGTAGCTGTCTTTGGTCGGATTGTGTGGGTGATAGGCTCTTTTTAGTGGTTCTGAGGTTGTTTTAGCCTTGCAGATCCCCCTAGTGGTGGTTTGTAAAGGCCAGCTTCAGTGGCTTATTCCCTCAGAAAACAACAGGTGTTTTTCACAGCCCCTTCTGGATTTGGACAAAGAAATAATACAAAGCCAGGCAAAGAAAACATTAAGAAAATGGGATAATTCCTTCGCTTTTGAGTTGGAATCTTAGGGTAATCATTTCCAGCCTATCTCATATCTTCTGTGAAACGTTCCATGACCACATCAGTCTGCATATTCATTTTAAGAAATATTTAATAAGCATGTATTGCTTGGTACTGTGTTAGGATCTAGGGACAATAGTATAAGTAAGGTGTGTTTTCTCCACTCTAGGTAGCTCAGAGTTTAGTGGAGGAAAGACAAGGTAAATAAGACAGCAACAGTAGCATCAGACAAGTGCTGTGCTCTGCCTGTGGGTAGTGATGAAGAGCACTGACTTAGGGTGAGTCCAGTGGCTTCAGCTTAGTGATGAATGGTGGGGTCCAATTTTCTTAACTGATACATAGTGATGAATGTCCCTTATACTCCTCGTAGAACATTTTACAATTACATGTATGATTGCTCTAACAGTACGGTTAAAGCATAACAGCTAACACTTGCCAAGTACACACTTTGTGTCCAGTACTGAGCTATATGAGTTACAAGTATTGTTTCATCATTCTCATTATACCCCCACATGGAAGGTCACATTTTCCACACTTGATTAAATGAAGATCGAGAAAGACAGCTAGGAGGAGCTGGAGTAATGTGTGCTCAATATTAGATATTTAAACAATAGAAAAATAGAAGAGTGTAAGTTCCATGAGGGCTGAGATTTTTCTTTTGTTTATGAATGTATTCCAGGTGCTAGAACAGTACCTGGAACATAGGTGCTCAATAAATATTTATTCAGTGAATGAATTTGTTCAATGCTAGTCCATGAAGAGAAATACTTAATAGTTTGGTGTCTTTTATTCTGGACTTAAAAAATATATACTATATGTTTTTTAATTTTATTTTTTTGAATAGGCAATACATGGTCCATAAATCAAAATACTATAAAAAGGTATACAGTGAAAAGAAGTGCTCCCACCCCTGCCCCCATTCCCCCCTACCTCAGGTAATCAATTTTATTAGTTTCTGGTGTTTCCTTCCAGGGTTTCTTTATGCAAAAATACATGTGTTATTTCCCTCCTTTCTTACATAAAAAGCATATTGTGCACTTGTTCTGGACCTTGCTTTTTAAATTACGGTTTGTGATTTTTTAAAACATGCATGTGATCGTAGTGTACAATAGTGTTTTGTAACCTACTTTTTTTCTCTTGGCAAAAATATACTGCAGACATCTATCCTTGATTCCTACAGTTTTACCTAAGGGACATGTTTTAAGTTATTTGATTGAAGAGACTTATAGTAAGGTAGAAGTCTCAAACTTATCTTTGGGGAAGGTTTAGTCAATGTATTAGGCAAGAAAATATTATGAGGCATAGCTCTTTAAAAATAGAGTTTAGTTGTTATGATTGCACATTAAGCTAAGAAGAGTCAACTGAAAAGCAAAAATGATGAGTATCAAGTTGACTGACCATTTTCTCAAATCAATAGCTTTCTCCTTATGTACTAGCAATACCAACATCTTGGTAAAAAGATCCTTGTCACGATAATAACAAAAAACCCTAAAATATCCAGGAATTACATAGAGATGTCAGAAGCTATATGAAGAAAATTATAGAACTTTGTTGAAGAGTATAATTTTTTTTTTTTGAAGAGTATAATTTTTTAAAAAGAAAGATTCGGTAAATACGTAATATCCACTTTGTCCCAAATGATTTTTTCTTTTATTTTTATGATTTGGCTAACATTAGTGATGAATGGTTGGGTCCAGTTTTCTTACTGATCTATAGTGATATGTTAAGCATCCTTTTGGTTATCTTTTTGTCCCCTAGAATTTTTTGAAGAAAAACTTTTTGCAAAGTCTTCATTACTTTTTTTTTTAAAGATTTATTTATTTGAGAGAGAGCGCATGTGCATGCGTGCATGGGTGGGGGAAGGGCAGGGGGAGAGAGAGTCTTAAGCAACCTCAGTGCTGAGTGTGGAGCTGGACATAGGACTCGATCTCACTAGCCCAAGATCACAACCTGAGCTGAAACCAAGAGTCGACGCTGAGCCGACTGCACCATCCAGGTGCCCCTTCATGACTTTTGATGCATGGAAAAGCCCTTTAAGAGATTGTACATAGATATTTGAATAACAGATTATTCTTACTGCTTTGAAATAGTCTCCATTAAAAAAAAAAAAAAGGCCATGTTGGGGCACCTGGTTGGCTTAGTCGGTAGATCATGCGACTCTTAATCTCAGGGTTTGCTAGTTCAAGCCCAACTTTGGGCATGGAGCCCACTTAAAAAAAAAAAGGGCCATGTAACAAATTGGTATTTATGTGTAATCAGTTTTTTCAAAAATTGACATAGGGAAAGATAAAGGGCGCTATATGTTGATTCTTAATGGAAAAGAGGATGTCTTGTTGTGGACTGTTTATTGACTGTTCTAAGAGGAGAACATAGTATTGGAATTCAATCGATTGTAAAATTCTGGGTTAATGTTAGTTTAGAAGCAGTAAAGAGTTGTTTGCTAAATATAAAAAGCACACCCCAAAGCAATAGCCTAAAAAAAATGGGGAGGTTCTGGGCAGAGAACAGTTGATACCAATGCAGTTTAAGTTTTCTTTTTTTCCTTAAAACAAAGGCAACCATTCCCTAGTTTGTTAAAGGAAAAGTGTTATGTTGTATCAGCTAGAGTTTAGGTTTGCTTATTAAGGTGTAACCACATAGGTGAAAGATGTTGATTGAATTTTTTCACAACATATATTTATCAAACATCATTATTTGATTTGGGTTTTCAGAAGGAAATTTCAGTTTGACTTACCATTTAGAATTTTTCTTTCTGGTTCTAGCCCTGTAGGGGACATTCAGTACCTTTCACTTTCAAAGTATGTCACTTAACAGTAAGTCTAAATCCTGGAACTGGATAGCTATCAGATCCCATTCATATTTCTACACTGTGAAATTAGCAAAAAGATACATAGCCAAGCCCTTGATCTCAGTTTGGTCTTCTCATGGATAAACATTTTTCCCCAGCCATTTAGTTTCTATCTAACTCATGTATTTAAGATGGTTATTACTTCTAGGTTAATCCAGAAACTAAGGAATACCTCTTGAGGACCACTTCCGGAAGTTGTTGAAATGTAGTCCAGCTTCAAATTTCAGGGGGTCAGTCAGGTTGACTGATAATATATCTGAGATTCCTACTTCTAAATAAATAGTTTTTGTGGATAAAGTAGTATTCTTTTCAAATATGAAAAAATTCTGAGTTAGAGTTATTTACACTATAATTGATTTTAGGTGTTGTCATATTACTTACAAGATCTTTTTTTTTTCCGGTAACCGAATCTTACAAGATTTTAAAATGTGTTTAATTTTTTATGTAGCTCCACCAAGTATGTTGGTGAAGGATGAGTATGTTCATGACTTTGAGGGACAGCCATCATTATCCACTGAAGGACATTCAATTCAAACCATCCAGCATCCACCAAGTAATCGTGCCTCAACGGAGACCTACAGCACCCCAGCTCTGTTAGCTCCATCTGAGTCTAATGCTACCAGCACCACCAACTTTCCCAACATTCCTGTGGCTTCCACAAGTGAGTAGTAGAATCAGATGTAGTCAGCAAGTTGATCTTACCCTATTCAATATTTATATGTAATAATTATATCTACTTGGAGGAAAACTCCAAGTAAGTAAAAATCAAAAGTACTGTGGTATCTTTTATAGGATAAAAGTATTAAGTAGGCTTTTTAGTTGGTCCTGGAAAAAATAGTGTTTATAATCTATTTGAATGTTTTTATGTTGATGTACAGTCACTGGAATTTAAGTAATGACTTTGATTAAATTAGTGGTCTAATTTAAATTAGTGGTCTAATTTGTACTTTTTCTATTACATGCAGAAGTAAGAATCGTCTTGCATTTTCAGATGTGTTTTAGAGAAGTGTTTAAGTAGTTAACAAGTAGTTTTGGACCAAGATGTTTATAAAAATCTCTGTCAATCAAATTGTATGCTTTTCCTTAATTAGGGTTTCTATTGTGCTTTGTCTGGGAGAATATTACTTTATAATCATTTCAGTCTCCCATTGTACAAACTTAGAAAAAGGGATCTTGACAAAGTTGTTTATAACATACATCCCTCAAGACAGACATTAAGTATTTTAGTCAATTTTGAAATAGAGCTAAATTCTAGGTATCTATTATTATTATTATTTTTAACCAAGAAGTCTTTTTCAAAAAGATTCTTCCCATGATAGAGATGCCATTTTCTTTGCCACATTATAGAGGCAGAGGGCTATTAGGTTTATCTTTTCTTGGGGCCTGATTAAGGCACTGATGACTCTCTTCTGTTAATATTGCTGTTTATTTTCACAGTTACCAAAGGTTGCACAGTTTGCTGTTTGGCAAGTGGAGTTGCCTTTTTTTTTTTAACTAATTACAGAGCAGGGTCTTGGCATGTGTATGGTGTTATTTGTACCTGGTTGCTAAGGAGATTGTACCTAAGCCACATCAGCAGCAGATTGTTGATAGATCTGGACTAATACTTTATTAGCAGCTACTAAAGGGAGCATTATTCTATTTACTTTAATATCAGATCAGATTCAAAATGGAAATTTGATCTTTGGAATAAATAGGGGACTGATTTCTCTAATTGAGTTTATAAGTATGGTATACCAAATATCCCCCCCTTTAATTCATTTCACCTCTTCAAAGCAGTATATTTTGGATTTTCTGCATGAGATGACAGTCTCACGATAGACAACATATTCTAAGTGGAGTTTATAGGTTAAGCACATACTTTAGACCTGGACCCTCTTAATCACTTAGTGCTTCTGTTATCTGTCTACTCTTTATTAACCAATTTGGGAATATAGTTGACAGAGTGGTCAGTGATGGAGAATAAAAGAAAGCACTTTATAGTCACCCAAGCATAGATTAGTGAGAGCGCAGCCACTTACTTACTTACTTCTGTTGATATTATCTGGAGATTGAATTTGCATGCCTTTGTTGATGCTTGCTAAAATGACTTTGTTTTAAGTGTTCTATCCTCTGGATTCAAGTCCTATTGAAAACCAGAAAAAGTGGTATTAGTGAAATTCCAATAATTTTTCTTGGTAGTTTTTGGATGTATTTTTCTAATTGAAGAGATCATTATTTTTAGAATTTGTCACAAAATGTTCTTGTAGATCTCAAAATGTGTATTGATAGAATTAAAAGAAAGAAAAAAATTGGACTAAAACAGGAGTTGGAAGACTCTTTTGAAGGAGCTGGTATAGTTGTATTATTTAATTTCTTATATACTTGGAATTGTGTAATGGAAATATTCAGTACAGATAACCACAGTGGGCTACTTTATAGTCTGTGTTCATTTTGCACTTGAATATCTTCAGGTTTTCTTTCTAAATATCTGTTATTAAAATAATCTCATTTTGCTTGTATAGTGACACTTTTTATAAGCTAGCTAAGAGTCTATGGCATGCATAGTTGTTAAAGGCAAGAGTAAAAGTATAATTGACATATAAAGATAACTTGGAAAAATTTGGGGGATGAGTAGGGAGGGAGGTTACTAAAAACATCTTTAAAAGTAAATAATTTGGAGATTATTGCAACAATCTCTAACTTTTGATTTTATAATCCTCACCTTAAGGAAATGTGATTTGCAGAGAGGAGAAAAGTGTTCCTTTTCCTTGATACTTTGAGCAATGGTGTCATTTCCTTTCTTCTATCTATACTCCCATTTAGATGAGAAAAGATTGAAGTGATGCCAGTTATAGATAACGGTTATGAAATTTTAGTGCTTCCCAAATGCGATAAACAATTGACTTAATGCTTGCTTGAAGAAATCAAGCTTTTTTCACTTAAAAAAAAAAAAAAAGCCTTAAAAATATAGGTTGTTGGGGCACCTGGCTGGCTTGGTCGATGGAGCATGTGACTCTTGATCTCAGGGTCATGGGTTTGAGCCCCACTTTGGGGGCAGAAAGTACTTAAAAAAATAAAAAATAAAATAAAATCTTTTAAAAAAAATATAGGTCAGTAAGCAATATCATTGAATGGTTTTGAGTAGAATAGAAATCAGACAGATCTTACTCCTCCTGGTATATTACATATAGAAAGGGTAACTAATTTCCTCTCAGTTTGGGAAGATGGTAGTGTTCTTGGAAGGAAGTGATTTTTGGTTTTTAAAAATACATGAAAAAATTTCAAAGTAGACTTATATTTTGTTGTTGTGGTTTTTGTTTATTGTTTTTGTTTTTCTTTTCTTTTTTTTTTTTTTACTAGCAATGCTCTATTGATTGAATAGTGGAGCTTGACCTTTTCTAAACTTCACCTTACCCATCACATTCCATTTAAAATATTTGCCTGCTCTGCTTTTCTTTTATCAAACTGTAGCATTTTGCTATTATCAGTACCAGTGCTAATAATAATGAATTTCCAGTTTTCAACGTTTCCTTGAGTGTGGACTTCTGGAGTGCTAATCAGAAAGGTCCAGAGCTACATGGCATGCCCAGGGATGAGCTGATGTACTTCTGAAGTTATTATGATAAGCTAGACATGTAGTGGCATTTTGCTGGCATTTGAAGAATATTTATGAAGGAAAAATTCTCTAAAATTAGCTAGACATTACTTAAGGTAGAACAGTTTTGGACATTTTCAAGTTAAGGTTTGCCTTCATAGATGACTTTAGGATTTATTACTTGATAGACCATAGATGAGTTCCATTTTTTGCCCATCTTTATAGTTGTGATTATCAGATATAATTGGTCCTTCATTTACTGTATGAAAACATAGGATTGCATCGATCAATGTACCGTATTAATGTCTTCTTGTTCCTCTAGGTCAGCCTGCCAGTATACTGGCGGGCAGCCATAGTGAAGGATTGTTGCAGATAGCTTCAGGGCCTCAGCCAGGACAGCAGCAGAATGGATTTACTGGTCAGCCAGCTACTTACCATCATAGTATGTACATGCTTTTTAAAATCTTTTAAGTAGTTGAGAAAAAATAGGCAGGCTTTCTAAAAGCAAATTAATCCATGTGGGCCTTAATTTTTAGACAGCACTACCACCTGGACTGGAAGTAGGAGCGCACCATACACACCTAATTTGCCTCACCACCAAAACGGCCATCTTCAGCACCACCCGCCTATGCCGCCCCATCCCGGACATTACTGTAAGCTCTCGTTTTTGTTGTAAGGGCCTTTTCTTTTTGAGAACTGGTTTTCTTTTTTTTTTTTTTTAATGTTTTTACATCTTTTATTCATCTTACAATTTAGTTTCATTAAATGATTACTGCTTTTCAGCATTTTTAGTAAACAGTATTATTTACTTTTTATAGTTTTGTTATCATACCTTTGTTTTAGAGGAGTGTTGTTTACTAAGTACATTTATTTCTCTGTTGCTGATGTTTCATTAACACCACATTGATTTCCATTCATTTGTTTGCTTTGTATATGTTCCTAGATCTCATGTATATCTGTATATCCACCCTAAGTGGGTTGAAACCCCTTGAGTGTCAAGATCTCAAGGTTTCCTCATCATACTATTCAGCATACTATAGACACTTAGATGTTGAATCTATCATTACTCTGTGCAGGCTTGACTGGGAGGGAGACTCTACTAATAATCATAGCTTGTAGTTTCAGGCAGAAGAGGAACATTGTTCATCTGGCTTAGTGAAGTCAAGAGCATAAATTTTTCTTATGTATTAAATTCCTTTTCCTCCATTATAAATTAATAGTACCAAAGAAAACTTGGAAGATACAGAGAAGTGTAAATAAGAAAATAAAAATTACCCAGAGTCCTCCTACCTAGAGATATCTACTTCTCATATTTTGTCTTATTTTTTTCTTCCAGTCATATAAATAGGTGTCTATACACTTGGGAGGGAAAGGATCATACTGTGTATATATTGTTGTATCCTTCTTATTTTCAGTTATGTTACTATTTTTCCATGTTTTAGAGAATATAATTTTTTATGGCTGCCTGGCCCAGCATAGTGGTTAAGGTGCTGAGTTTGGACCCTTAATTGGCTGTGTGACCATTGGCAAGTTACATAACTCCCACTAACTAAGCCTTAAGGCTAACAGTAGTATCCATCTCAAGGAATGTTGTAAGAAGTAAATGTAATAATTCTTGTGAAGTGGTTAGCACAGTGTTTTAACACTTAATAATCTCTCAATTATCTTAGCTACTGTTCCATTATGTAAATATCCTTAATTTAATAAACCCTAAACACTTGTTTTGAGAATGGACCTAACAGTTTGAATTATTATCATCTATTGCGTTGTAAATTATACTCTATCATGTTAAATGAATAATTCATTTATAATTTACATTAAATTTTCCATGTACAATTATTGTAAATTGCTAATAGCACTTGGCACATAGCATTAAAATGTTAGCTCCTAAATACCCACAAAAGTAACTCAAGAGTATTTGCTTATTATAAAGTAATCTAAACAAAGCTTTTACATTTTTAGACATTGCATAAGCTTGATCTAAACAACTCCTAAGGTACGGTAGTTATATTTAAGTAAGGTTTATTAAAAGTTTTAGCATTGGAAAACTTTTAATAAATAAAAATGGGATTTTTATTGTCTTTTCTTTAGGGCCAGTTCACAATGAGCTTGCATTCCAGCCTCCCATTTCCAATCATCCTGGTAAGTGTATTTCAACATTGATTCCCTATATTTTAGATTTTCTTTATAGTAATTAAAACATACACACACACACAAACACACGTTTTAGTATAATTACAGAGTAACCTAACTTTTTAGATAAATATAATACTGCTTATCGCATTAGCTAATCAACAGTTTACGAGTAGCTGATATAGTCACACATAGGGTGTCCATATTTGATTCTTTTTAACTATGTGAAAGAAAAGACAAGAACTGTTTTTTTCAGCTAAAATATGAAGTAACAAAATGCTGGTTTTAGCACTGAATACATAAATATGTAGCAGAAGAAAACTAGGTTTCAAAATAGAACAGCTGTAAAACTGTAGCTTAAAAAGCCAGGGAAGAATCTGAAGTAGATGCTGAAAATAAAAATAATTCACTGTGTCTGTTTTAGAAGATAGATTCAGGAATTTCTGGTTAATTGGAATTTTTAGAAACTTTTTGATTAGTCTTCAAAGCAGTAAATAACTAAATAGATTTCCTCAGTTCAGAGTTTGAATATATCTTTTTAAACTATAGAAGTAATAAAACAGAGAAAATCTCAATAAAATAAAATACTGAGGGCTTCTTAGCATTAACATAAGATTTTGATTTGTTTTCCGCTATCCCTTCGTATCTTTTTCTTAGCTTAAAAAGTTGCAAATATTTAATTTCCACTCATCACTTAATTTTTCCCCTAATTAAAAATAATTTGTTTTATTATGAAGAATTTCAAACATATACCAAATATCAGACACCCCCCCCTGCCCCAGTATACTCATCCCTCAGTTTCAGCTATTAACAGCTCTGGACCAGTCTTGTCTCATTCATACCCTCACTTATTATTTTGAAGGAAATCGTATAAAATTGTTTTGTATATAAATATATGAGCATATATTTCCAATAAAATTTTTTTTTAAAACATAACTACAATAAGTATAATGATCAATTTAAAGGATAACTTACAGTTCTTCAAATAGATCTACATAATTTTCTTCAACAGTGTTCTGTTTGTTATTTTTTATTTTCTAATTTTTCTTTCGGATGTTAAAAAAACCCAAAACCATTGAGGGTAAGATTTTCAAGCTTGTAACTCTTCTCATATTTCAGTTTAAGAGATTTAAAGAGCTTCTGAATAAAAAAGCCGAATTGCTTTACAGTGATCGCATCAGAGTATGAGAGTTTTACCATGCTCACCAGATTAGGTGGATAGTTTGATAGACTTTTTGTTGATTTAGGAGGCAAATAATATTTGTTTTGATTAGAAGAAAAATGCTATGGGTGGGGCAGAAGTACTTTTTAACCGTACATAATTACTAGTTAAGTAATCCTCTTTAGTAGATTTTTCTATATGTTATTTGCGTATTTATTGTGGCTTTAAACATTTTTTGGGGTTAAGGAGCCTTGCCTTTTTATAAACATTTTTATTGAGAAATATATGGAAAAGTACGTAAAACAACTATACGTGCAGTCTCATGAATAACATTGAAGCTAACACCTAGGTAACCACCCTTCAGATTGATAACTAAAATTTGCCACACCCCTAGAAAACTTCCTATCCTGTGCATTTTGTTTCAGTCAAAAACTTCTCCTCCCTACCAGAGAGCACTGTTCTTTTTTTTTTTTTTTTAAGGTTTTATTTATTTATTTGACAGAGACACAGCGAGAGAAGGAACACAAGCAGGGGGAGTGGGAGAGGGAGAAGCAGGGAGCCTGATGCGGGGCTCAATCCCAGGACCCTGGGACCGTGACCTGAGCTGAAGGCAGACACTTAACGACTGAGCCACCCAGGTGCTCCTGTTCTGCTTTTTGTGGATACTATTTTTTTTTTGCTCTTTGAAAGTGATGAATGCATCACGAGACAGTCTAGTTTAGTAGATTGGTTTTACTTGTTTTTGAAATCATATAAATAAAATCATTGTATCCAAATCTTAATTTGTTGTGAATAAACATACTGTGATAAGAGGGGAAAATCTAGAGCTTTAAGAATGAGAATTTTTTCTGGCTTCAAGGCAGCATCACTCAGAGTCAGTAGTGGTTCTTGGCACTTTGGGGGGCCTCAGTGTCCATATGGCTTAGTGGAAGGTGGTCTGCGGGAGAGAGAATAACCAGAGCTCAGAAGAAAGACGTACCCTGAATGAGATGGTGAGGTGAAGTTGGAAATGGTTATTTGGACTCAGTTTGCATTCAGCAATTGCTTTTGGCTTCTTGATAGATTATTCATTCTTCTCATGGTAGAACTGATGTTGAGGTCTAACAGCTCCTGGTGGTTAGGGAATAGCATTAACTAGTTATGAGGATACACATCTGGAACACCGCATATTGGCATTAAAGCTTTTGTCTATGAGTAGAATAGAAAGTGACTTAATGGTGAGAACAATCCTGAAAGGTCTCTGTCTGAGTGGTTGTGGGAAGGAATTAGCTCTGTGCATACACAGATGTTAGTGTGGAATCAGCTGGTTGAAACCCAGTTGGCTGTGAACTCTTTGGCTATGAATACTTACAGGCCCCAGAGGAGTTTTACCTCACAACTGTTTTCTTCATTTCTTCTCTTGTACTGTTTTTTATTTTTATTTTTATTTATTTATTTGACAGAGAGAGACACAGCGGAAGAGGGAACACAAGCAGGGGGAGAGGGAGAGGGAGAAGCAGACTCCCCGCTGAGCAGGGAGCCCGATGCGGGGCTCGATCCTGGGACTCTTGGATCATGACCTGAGCCGAAGGCAGACGCTTAACGACTCAGCCACCCAGGTGCCCCTCTTCTCTTGTACTGTTAAGAGAATATTTTAGGGGCGCCTGGGTGGCTCAGTTGGTTAAGCGACTGCCTTCGGCTCAGGTCATGATCCCGGAGTCCCGGGATCGAGTCCCACATCGGGCTCCCTGCTCAGCGGGGAGCCTGCTTCTCCCTCTGACCCTCCCCCCCTCATGTGCTCTCTCATTCTCTCTCTCTCAAATAAATAAATAAAATCTTAAAAAAAAAAAAAATATTTTAACTGGTCTACCTATTGGGAGAGCTGTAGGCATAGTTAAATCTCTGTTATTACTCAGTATTTCTTTTCAAATTTGAATCTAATTATTTCTCAGCTGAAGAACTTGCATCGTTTTCCCTACTTATTGCTTGGCCAAAAGGTCTAAATTCCTTAGCTGGGCAGAATATAGTGTCTGATCCTGGTCCCTGCGTACTTTCCTAGCCTTGTCTCTTTATGCTTTAACCTGAACCACATACTCAAGCTTGCTCAGCTATATCATTCCTCTATGCTTTTTTAACACATGCAGAAAAATCTCTGTGTGATAGGTCTTGTACTCTATATTAGTTACTTGTTGTTCTGTAATAGAGTATTTCCCAAACTTAGCTGATTAAACCAGTAATAACAATTCTTTATCTTACTTAGTTTCTGTAGGTCAGGGATCTGGGAATGGCTTGGTTGGTTTGCTCTGGATTTAGAGTCGCATGAGGTTGCAGTCAAGATGTTGGCTTGGGCTGCTATCATCTGATGGATTTTCTGGGGTGGGAGGATTCACTTTCGGGGTGGTTTACCCACATAGTTGGTAAATTGTTATTGTCGGCAGAAAGGTCAGTTTCTCTCTGTGTGGACCTCTCTGTAGAGCTTCTTGAGTGTCTTCACATGATAGCTAACTTCCCCCAGAGTAAGTGATCAAGAGAAGGCAGGACAGAGCCTTGGGGTCTTTTAAGACTTAGCCTCAAAAGTCACATCATAATTTCAGTAAGATATTATTTTGTGGGGAGGGGACGACACAAGGATGTGAATATCAGAAGGTGAGAATCATTAGGGGCCATCTTGGTGCCCACCCATGTACTCCTAAGGTCCTAAATGTGGCAAACTCTGTTTAACATCTACCTGGAGTATACCACTGTTGGGAAACCTTTCCTAATCCCTGCGTCCCCTGCTGTCTAGTACTTTTAATTCTTTTTTTTTTTTTTTTTTAAGATTTTATTTATTTATTTGACAGAGAAAGTGAGAGAACCCAAGCAAGGGGAGCAGCAGAAGAGGGAGAGGGAGAAGCACGCTCCCCGCTGAGTAGGGAGCCAGATGTGGGGCTCTATCCCAGGACCCTGGGATCATGACCTGAGCCGAACCAACTGAGCCACCCAGTCACCCCTCTAGTACTTTTAATTCTATTTAAATTACAGTTGTTAGTTTACAGCTCTGCAGTCCTGTTTCATAAATGAATAGAAAACAAAGTTAATATTTGTTTTAGGTGTCTGGTTAATGCAGCCCCTTAAGGTCCGATTAAGAAATGCTAAAATATTCTACCACAGACTTAGGGCCATTTAGATAGGAAATAAGCCTATACCTCTGAATATGTAAAATATTTGAAATAATGAAATATCATCAATATATAGTGAACCTATTTTGAGAAATGATTTTTGAAGACAGTTACATAGATGTTTTCAGAAATAGAGGTAATATAAATTGTAGAAAATGAAAATAATTATTATTGGTCATTACCTTGGTGTTAAGGATTTCAGATAGGCCTTATACTTGGTGATTTTTATGCTTTGATTTTGATAACTAAGTTGAAAAAAAGTTTTGGAAAAGGTTAGTCATTTTATTTCCTTTTTATGGACTCTTTTTGCTTTTTCTTAAAGCTGAGATATATTCATTGAATTAAATATTGATTACAAATTAAAGAGTTTCCTCAGTGTCTTTGAGGTTGTTTTGGTAATTCACAAATGGGTTCAAAATCCACAGATTTCTAAATTCAGGTTATATTCTAGTACTTAGGAACTATCTACTATTCAAGAGAGTGCCTTTATGTGTTGATAAAAGATTCTCATAGGTCATCTTATTCAGATCTAAATAATAAAAGAAATAATTCATAATGAGTCTCTTGGGCACTTTAACGAAGTTTTTAACTTTTTGAATGACTTTATTTCAGAAATTGAAGAGAATGCCTTGGAGACTATATTTTTCAGTGTAATTGTGCTTTATAATACATTTACCCATTATAAAGAAGTATTTAGCTAAGTTCTTAAATTATAAAAAAAAAAAAAAAATCATGTTGTTAACTCAGCCTTTTAAAAACCTTTTCTCTGGCCAGTGATGAGCAGTCCATAGGCTTCATGAGATCAGCTCAACTTCACTAATTCAGCAACAAGAAGCTAAAAATATCAACATCAGCAAGCACATAACAGTCCCACTCCCTTTCATATGAATTAGAACATTAAGAAAGCTCTCTCCTGAACTGAGTAATTTCATCCTCCTGTTAATACTGGTTTTGAGAAGCTGCAGGCTTGTCGCTTAATATGGCATTTGGTCCTTGGAGCAAAAGAGCAAAGAGAGATCTAGAAAATCTTAATGAGTGTTTCCTATTCGCCTTCTCCTGTTTAAAAAAAAAAAAAAAAAGGTTCTTCCAGGCTGTTTAGCGAATTGAGAGTGTAGTAGAGGTTTTTCACATGGTATATTGTATCCCTGGACTGCCAAGTTTTCTGGAACCCACTTAGATTACTTCTAGTTCTCTGTCTTCACAGATAGTAACCCCCTTCTTCTTGCTTTCTTAGGCCTTAACAATCTCTTAACAGTTGGTGGTTTTTTCATCCCTGGTCTATGGTGCAATTCTGATGCCAATTTCTGTTAACTTCAAGTTTCTTAAAACTCTTCTTCCCAGTACTAGCAGGTCAACTCATTCAGAGATGCAGCTTTATGTAACCATCATTGTTGTATTGTGTCTGAGATATTAGGCAAGCACACAAAAACCCCTTTGGTGACTGGAAAATAATAAAATAAGGTTTAAGTGCAGTTGCAGATGTTATAATTCATGATGATTAAAAGTATATTTTTTCTTATTTAAATGTAGAGGTTATACAACTCTCTTTTTCACTCCTGAATTGACTGTCATGGAAAGAGGTTGCTCACCATGGCACTTTACTTCTTGATAATGTTACTCAGTATGAACTAGGAAATGCATGTACTTGGACCTTATTTTTTACTCAGCATTATAAACATTCATGACTTCAGGGCATTGCTTGTAACAGAATTTACTGCTTGGATTGTTTAAAGACCCTTTTAAATGCTATTACTGTTTTTTGCTTCTAGAACATTGGGTAATTGTTATCTTGTCTTAGACAACCTCTTTTTTTTTTAATATTTTATTTATTTATTTGATAGAGACACAGCGAGAGGGGGAACACAAGCAGGGGGAGTGGGAGAGGGAGAAGCAGGCTTCCCGCGGAGCAAGGAGCCTGATGCGGGGCTCGATCCCAGGACCCTGGGATCATGACCTGAGCCGAAGGCAGACGCTTAACGACAGCCACCCAGGCGCCCCCTTAGACAACCTCTTTAGTTTTAGCTTTAACTAATATAAATATATCTGCCAGTTTGCTGAAGCTTTTTGTTCATAGCATAATGTGCTGTCTTTAATACAGAATAACTTCATAAATATTTCAAAACTGTTTTTTTAAGAAGGGACTTCAGTATATCACTACTTTTTCATGTTTTAATGATAACCAAAAATATTTAAAGAAATGTTAAGTATTTGTGATTAGTTGATTTGATCTGTGTGGCAAAACATTTGAATTGCTAAGTTTTTGAATCACCATCTTCATGTGGTTTGTTTTATTAATGCTTCATTGAAAAATACTTTCTTACTTGACAACATTTTGAAAAGCAATTAAATACATAGATTTTACAAGATTTTTTAAAAAGATTTTATTTATTTGAGAGAGAGAGAGAAACACAAGTGGGAGGAGGGGCAGAAGGAGAGGGACAGCAGACTCCCTCATGAGCAGGGAGCCAGAAAGCAGGGCTTCATCCCAGGACCCTAAGATCATGACCGGAGAGTCAGACACTTAACTGACTGAACCACCCAGGCGCCCCAGATTTTACAAGATTTTTTTTTTTTTTAAGATTTTATTTATTTATTTGTCAGAGAGAGCACAAGCAGGGAGAGTGGTAGGCAGAGGGAGAAGCAGGCTCCCCGCTGAGCAAGGAGCCTGAAGTGGGACTTGATTCCAGGACCCTGGGATCATGACCTAGCCGAAGGCAGAGCTTAACTGACTGAGCCACCCAGGCATCCCTACAAGATTTTTAAAATATATTTTAAGTATCAGTCATATTTCATTTTAAGATATTTTGGGAGTTTGAAAAGATCTATTTTTTTGTCATCCTAAGTATCTACAGATTGTTGAAAGTTTTATTGCTGTAAATTCTAGTTTAGTCAAAGTTCATAAAGGGCACATCGAGAAGCAAATAAATTGATTTATCAGCAGAAAACTTTTTTTTAAAAGATTTTATTTATTTATTTGACAGAGAGACACAGCGAGAGAGGGAACACAAGCAGGGAGAGTGGGAGAGGGAGAAGCAGGCTTCCCGCGGAGCAGGGAGCCCGATGCAGGGCTCGATCCCAGGACTCTGGGATCATGACCTGAGTGGAAGGCAGATGCTTAATGACTGAGCCACCCAGGTGCCCCATCAGCAAAAAACTTTATTCTCTAATAAGTGGCACTGGCCTTTCCCCCCCTTAAATATGTCAAATCCATTTTTACTTGGCCTTTGCATTTACTTTCTTCTTGAAATGTTCTGTTCACAGTCTTTACATAAATACATGGTCTTTCAAATTTCACCTTTTCAGATAGGATGTACCCCTGCCATCTAGTATGAAGGATTCTTTCCAGTCATTTTCTATCCCACACCCCATTTTATTTTCTTCACAGTGTTTATCATTACTGGAGTCATCTTACTCATTTATTTCCTTATTTGTCTGCCTCTGCATCTCCATGAGAATAGGGACAATAGCTATCTTATTTACTGCTGTGTATGCTGTGCCTAGAATAATTCCTAGATACTCTATATATATCTGTTAAATTAGTTAAAAAAGGAAAATCAAATAATTTCCATGTATGTTATCTCTGTGTAATAATAGTTTTATTCAAACAAAAACTAGAAATATTTGATCAAGTATATTTGCAAACCACACCAAATAGTGCCTTTTTTTCCCCCAGGGAAAATTTTAAGGTTATTTTAAGTCATTTGTTGTTGTTCAAATGAATACACTAAATACATTTGCAAAGTTAAAATTGTAGTAGTTAACATGAATTGACTTCACTAAAAATACAGATGGGACAAATGACCTTTCACCCAAGAGACAGTTGAGAATTCCTGCTCACAGCCACTGTATAATGGAGTGTAATTAACCTTGACTCTAGTCTGTGATGGCTGACTTGCTTATGCCCTTTCTCTCAATTAGGGATCTATAAAAGTATGTCATAAATTAATGTTACTCATGGACACTTCCCTGGAATATGTCTTAGAGTCAGTGTGTTTTAAAAAAAATAAAAGTTCAGACTATATAGAAACTATATGTACAGTCAAATGAAACATTGTGATAAATTATTTTAGAATCTGATTACTTCTCTTCTTTAAATTCCTAGTTGGATGAGTCCTTTGAGGTAAGAACCAATTTTGAGATTTTAAAAATGACTAGAGTTCAAGAATGCTTAGGTACTGAACTGAAAAATGGAAAACATAGAAGTGCCTACTTTTTAATGCATTGTCATTTTAATCAGATTCTTTTGGGTGCTTTTCAGATGCTTCTCCCCTTCCTTCACCCTTTCTTTTAGGAAAAGCTTTGTCTTATGGAATGAACATGAATGCTGTATCTCTTTCTGACATGGGTAGATGTTCTCTCCTGTCTACCTCCTGTAGCTCCTGAGTATTGGTGTTCCATCGCTTACTTTGAAATGGATGTTCAAGTAGGAGAGACATTTAAGGTTCCCTCAAGCTGCCCTATTGTTACTGTTGATGGATATGTGGACCCTTCTGGAGGAGATCGCTTTTGCTTGGGTCAACTCTCCAATGTTCACAGGACAGAAGCCATTGAGAGAGCAAGGTATTGTTGATTGTATAGTTAGTTATTTTAAAACTTGAACATAGTACATTGTCATTTATTTGAAGTTACATTTTTCAATGTAGATTTATAAGGTTTTGAATATAAAGGTCATCTTGAAAATTCAGAATTTGTAAACATTGCATTGTAATTATAGATGTTTGTTATTTAAAATATGATAAAAATGGTCTTTTGTTTAAGTTAGTGATGTTTCTGTGTTTTGAATAGTAAACTAGACCTTTTGGTATCCAGTTTGAAACAAATTTGTATTTTCTCTTATTGTATATTATTTCTACAAGTCTATTGAGAGGAAATAATACAAAATGAGGACATGTTTCTGCAAGTATTATTTATAATATTGGAAAAATGATAATAAAAGGGAAATGGTTAAATTTTGATGAACTTTCATTTTTTATGTATTAAAATGTTAATTAAAAGTTTGTATAGCAAATGTAAATGCTTAAGATGAAATATTACAAGAAAATATTCATAGTTTTAGGTACCATATGATCTCAGATCTTTAAGGACGTGTGTGTGCTTATAGCTCTATCACTAGCTATGTGACTTTGGCAAATTCCTTACTCTCTAAGCCAGTGCTGTCTGATAGAATTTTCTGTGATAAAGGAAATAGTTTATATCTGTGCTATTCACTGCAATAGCCACTACCTACATTAAAATATGGCTGTTGAGCACTTAAAATACAACTCATGTGATTAACTGAATTTTGAATTTAAATGGGCACATGTACCTAGTAGCTGTTGATTTGGACAGTGTAGCTATAAGCTTTTATATGCCTTAGTTTAATTTATAAAATGGGAATAATCATATTTACCTTACTGAATTGTGAAGGTTAAGTGAGAATTTATATTAAATATTTGGCACATAGTAAGTATTATATATATGCTCATAATTATATATGAATGAGATATTAAAAAAGGAAATATACAAAAATGTTAACAGTGGGTATCTTTCAGTAATGGTGTTATATAACATCTTTTATTTTTTTTTAATTTTAATATTTGGTATGCTGTATAATCTGAACTAAAATTTATCTTTAAATACTTATCAAAATAAAATGTAATTCCCTTTTTCTTCCTAAGGTTGCACATAGGCAAAGGTGTGCAGTTGGAATGTAAAGGTGAAGGTGATGTTTGGGTCAGGTGCCTTAGTGACCATGCAGTCTTTGTGCAGAGTTACTACTTAGACAGAGAAGCTGGGCGTGCACCTGGAGATGCTGTTCATAAGATCTACCCAAGTGCATACATAAAGGTTAGTTGCACTTTTACTCAAACATTTTAGACATAGAAAGCTCTATTTGTTTAAAGAATTGAGATGGAGGTGGGAGGAGAAGAAAAATGTCTTTTTTATGTGTTAAATAATCAGAAATTATGTTTGTGTATAAAACACATTTCCTGGGTCATTTATTGACATGATTGGCTATATCTAGTTTTATGGTCGCATTCATGCCCATTGTTTTATTAATAAATTTGTTAAATGTTTTAGAGTAATACACAGGCTCTTAAAAATATTGAGTGAAATCTCGAAATTTGTATTCCTTGGTAAAAATCAGACTCTAGAAATTTATCTTAGCCAGTCTTCAGGATTGTATGGAGGGGAATTCTAAAATTAATAGCTTTTCAAATTAAGAACCTGAGAAATGAAAAATCCTTCAATACCAGGTTTTTAAAAGTTATTTTGTACATTAAATGAGTTTTATTTATTATCATTTTGCATATTAAGCCTGAGGTGTTTATCATTTATTCAACCCATATCAATTTTAGTTTATAACATACACTGCTTTTGAAAGAAAGATAGTTGGAATTAAAAAGCCTAAATATATTTTTAACTTCAGGTTTTTTACAGTCATCCTAAGCATCTTCATTGTTGGCCATTCTAAGTTAGTGGAATTAACTGTAACTCATCACTTATTCCCAGGAAACTGCTTAGCGTACAAATAATACAGTCAAATAGCATATACAGAAATGGAATTGCTTGATGGCCTCACAACAACAAACTTAGTATCTCATTTTCAGTTACTGCAGTTCAGTTAAAGGATATAGGGATCTTACTTTAATATGAAACTTTCAAATTTTTCAAGTACAGAGAAAATAACAAATCCTCATGTACTCACCATCCAGCTTTAACATTCATCAGCATTTTATCAATCTTTATTGTGTTTATCACTGTACTTTTTTCTCCAGTAATTTAAAGCCAACTCCAAACACTATATTAGTTCATTCATAAAATACTCTAATGTGGATCGCTAATTGGTGAATATTTCTAAAAGACATAATCACAATGCTATTTATTACACCTAACAAAATTAACAGTAATTCCCTGTTGAAAGTCTTGACAATAGAGAATCTTTATAGTGTTGATGTGTTAGAACAGTGGAATAGAATAGAACAATAAAATATTAAAATATGTTTATTGATAGGATATTTATGATGTGGAAGTGTTGATTATTAAACAGTATGTAGAATGTGATCTTATTTTTATAAAAGAAATAATATCAAGGATATTTGTATTCATTTTTTATATACACCTACAAGTCTAGAATTGTGTACACAGTGTCTTACCAGGAATTGTCTCTGTGAGGTGGAATTTTCTTCATTTGCATTTTCCAGTTTTTCCACAAGAAATTTTAGTTATTTGTGCTTTATTGTTATTTTTAAGTGGTGTTAGATTTCCTTATATGCTTTACAATCTATTTTATGTTGGTTGGCAAATTTGTCTTGAGAGAATTAATTCATTTTGTTTTTTATTTTTTTCCTCCCTGTTATTGCTTCTCCCTATAGGGCAGTTTTGCCTTAGTCTGGCACCCTGGGATCCACATCTCAGAACCAATTCTTATATTTAGGAGTTAGAGGAATTTTGTCCCATGAGGAAATTGAGTTCCAATCCCCAGGTATGCTCAGGGCCTAATTCCTATTAATAGGTTTCTGATGCTTATCTCTGCCATGGGCAAGAAAGAATTTTATTCCTAGGTGCATTTCCAAATTAGCTGTTAAAGTATTTTACCAGCACTTAATTCACGGGCAGGTACCCAGTTGTAGCCCTCAGAGATCCTGGCTATTGTCTCTTTCCATATTGCAATAAGTAGTCGAATTACTAACATCTACACCTTTTTTTTGGTCTTGGTACCCCAAGTACCTCCTGTCTTTAGTTCCTGCTCTCCACTGTAAATTTTGTTTATCCATCATCAGTAGATGGACACATGGATTATTTCCACTTTTTGGCTCTTATGAATAATGCTGCTCTGAACATTCATGTACAGGATTTTAGGTAGATGTTTTCCTTTTCTTGGATATATATGTAGGAGTGGATTTGCTGGATCGTAAGGTTGATTCTGTGTTGAACATTTTGATGGACTGCCAAGACTGTTTTCCCAAGTGGCTATATGCCATCTTACATTTCCACCAGCAATGTATATATGAGAGTTTCAGTTTCTCTGGACTCTCATCAACACTTGTTGTTATTTGTCTTTTTTATTTTAGCCATCTTAGTGGATGTGAAGCGGCATCTCATTGTGGTTTTAATTTGCTCTAATGGCTAATAATACTGAACATCTTTTCATGTGTTTATTGGCCATTTGTATATCTTTTCTGGAGAAATATCTATTCAGATCTTTTGCCCATTTTTAAATTGGGTTCTTTGTCATTTTATTATTGAGTTGTAAGAGTTCTTTATATATTTTGGGTATCAGTCCCTTATCAGATACATGATTTGTGCATATTTTCTTCCATTCTTTGGCTTGTCCTTCATTTCACTTTCTTGATGATACGATTTGCACAAAAATTTTTAATTTTGATGTAGTCCAACTTACCTATTCTTTTGTTGCTTTTGCTTTTGGTGTCTTATCTAAGAAACCATTGCCTAATCCAAGGTCATGAAGATTTACTCAGATGTTTTCTTCTAAGCATTTTATAGTTTTAGTTCTTTAATTTAGGTCTGTGCTCCATTTTGAGTTAATTTGTGTGTATGGTGTAAGGAAGGGATCCAGCTTTGTTCTTTTGAATGAGAATATCCAGTTGTCCTGGCAACCATTTGTTGAAAACTGTTCTTTCCCTTATGAATTATCTTGACACCTTTGTTGAAATTCAGTTGACCTTGAATGTAAACGTTACTTTTACTTCTGTGCTGTCAATTCTATTTCATTGATCTGAATGACTCCTTATGACAGTACTTCTCTGACTAGATTACTGAAGCTTTGTGGTAAGGTTTGAAATTGGTAAGTGTGAGTTTTCCAACTTGGTCCTTAGCATTGTTTTGGCTATTGACTGTTCTTTGTATTTCCATGTGAATTTTATTTACTGTTGGCTTCAAGGATATATACTTGTAATAGTTCTTCTATCCTTTGTGCTCATAGCAGAGAGAAAAGCTGTTCATATATACCTACTCATCCATCTTGACTTGGAAATCTCTGGATTCCTTGTGTAATTTGCAGTGAATGGATAAAGAACTACAGTGTTGATTATATATACTATGTGTCAGATGGGAGTTATGAATTTATTCAATGTAGGGTCATATTTAAAACGTTTGAGCTTAAAAAATGTGGAATCTTGGGGCGCCTGGTTGGCTCAGTCATTAAGTGTCTGCCTTCGGCTCAGGTCATGATCCCAGGGTCCTGCGATCGAGCCCCACATTGAGCTCCCTGCTCAGCAGGAAGCCTGCTTCTCCTTCTCCCACTCCCCCCTGCTTGTGTTCCCTCTCTCGCTGTGTCTCTCTCTGTTGAATAAATAAATAAAATCTTAAAAAAAAATGTGGAATCTTGTATAATTAAAGTAATTTTTAGGATTTTCAAATAAATGTAACATCTCTGTTTTGGTACTAATGGCTCTTAAGAAGCCCCTGAGGTATGAGACATATCATCACTTGATAAAACACTGTCATGGATAGATTTTTATGGTAATCTCAGGCTTTTGCCATGAACAATAATTACCTTTTGGGACATTTTTTTTAATTTTTATTTTTTTTACACTTTTTTTTTTTTTAAGATTTTATTTATTTATTTGAGAGAGAGAGCGAGTACATGAGAGGGGGGAGGGTCAGAGGGAGAAGCAGACTCCCTGCCGAGCAGGGAGCCCGATGCGGGACTTGATCCAGGGACTCCGGGATCATGACCTGAGCCGAAGGCAGTCGCTTAACCAACTGAGCCACCCAGGCGCCCTACACTTTTTTTTTTTTAAAGATTTTATTTATTTATTCATAAGAGACAGAGAGAGAGAGAGGCAGAGGGAGAAGCGGGCTCCCTGCTCAGCGGGGAGCCCGATGTGGGACTCGATCCCAGGGCCCTGGGATCATGACCTGAGCCGAAGGCAGATGCTTAACCATCTGAGCCACCCGGGCGCCCCTATCTTTTGGGACATTTTAGTGGAGTAAAAAACAACATCCCATTTTTGTCATAATAACTGTTTAAGGTTTAAAAAGAATTATTTCTGTTTACCAAGCATATTATTGTTGTTCAGAAGAATCTTACTAGCTAGAAAAAAAGAGATGTAAGTATACACTAAGTCTTAACCATTGGCATTTTCTTCATTTGTGAATTTTTTAGGCAGTAGTAACTAAAGGATTTGTATAGTGCTGTTTAAATTGTTATATTCCCACCAGAGATAATATTTTTTTTTTTATAGACTTTATTTATTTATTTGAGAGAGAGAGCACAAGAGTGGGGGAGTGGGAGACAGAGAAGCAGACTCCCTGCTGAGCAGGGAGCCCGATGCGGGACTCGATCCGGGGACTCCAGGATCATGACCTGAGCCGAAGGCAGTAGCTTAACCAACTGAGCCACCCAGGCGCCCCTCCACCAGAGATAATATTACTGGGGTGAATTATATTCAGATAACACGAACCTCTGAAAGGAGTGCCCACACATTGGGAATACACCTCCCCCTAGCCCCCTAAACATGCACACACAAGCACATTTTTCTCCTTTTAATTAAAAAGAAAACCAAGGTTTGGAGACACATTCTTTTATTTTATAAACCAAGAAGCTAGAACTAAATTGTGGGGGTTTTTTCTTCTAAGATGTTGATTTTTTCCCTTCATCTTTCATGACATCGTAATCCTCTGACGTTCATGAAAATCTGATGTAATGAAATGGCATTTTACAAGCTTTACATGAAGCAAATGTTTGAATTCTAAATGGCCTTACTGTTTTGCTTTCAAAAGTAAGATCTGTTTTGTTTGTGGTGCTTACTACTGGGCAGTCAGGGTTTTAACAGCTTCATTGAGACAGAGATAGAATTCATATACCACGTAATTCACCCATTTAAACTGTATAATTCAGTGGTTTTTAAAAATATATTCACAGTTATGCAACCGTCATCATGATCAGTTTTCAAGCATTTTATCACTCTGGGAAGGAACCGTGTACACTTTAGCTGTCATTCCTCACCCTCCCCCCCCATTTCCCTCAGCACTAGACAACCATTCATCTACTTTTTCTCTCTACAGATTTGCCTATGCAGATTTTGTGTAAATGAATTCATATAGTGTGGTCTTATGTGACTTCTTTCACTAGGCATAATGTTTTCAAGCTTCATCCACATAGCGTATATCTGTACTTCATTCTTTTTTATGGCTGAATAATATTCCATATACCACATCTTGTTTGTTATCCATTCATCAGTTGATAGATAAGAGTTTCCCCTTTTTGGCTATCCTATGAATAATACTACTATGAACATTAGTGTGTACAAGTTTTATGTGAATATATGTCTTCATTTCTCTTGGATATACCTAGGAGTGGAATTGCTAGATTATAAGGTAACTCTGTAGCATTTTGAGGGATTGCCAAACTGTTTTCCAAAGTGGCTTAACCATTTTACATTCTGATCAGCAGTGTGGGAAGGTTTTAGATCTCTACAGTCTCATCAACACTTGTTATTATCTGTCTTTTTGATGTTAGCCGTCCTAGTGGGTGTGAGGTGTTACCTCATTGTGCTGGTTTTTACACTTGATCTTAGCCAAAAGGCTGAGAAGCGATCATTGTGCTGGTTTTTGATTTGCATTTCTCTGATGCAGTTGAGTCAGGTTTGTTTTTGAACACATATATGTTAGGGGATGCTTCTAAACCACAGGAAGGCCAGGTTGAAGGTTATTATAATCCCAGCTTAAATTGATTCTCAATTACCATGTATTGTGATTCTTATCTCCAGGTCCAGTAATTTAGCAAATTCTTAATGCAGTCTTATGTTCAGACGCCCAATATACCAACACAGTTATCTGTTTCTCTTTCTGGGTTACTAGTTCTTGGTGTTGATTTAAACTGAGAGTATTGTAATTAAGCCTTATATATGAAAAATGCCAAAATTTTGACTCCTGGTTGAAAGACAATATCCTGAAGATGTTCACATTGAGCTTTATAAGACTCACCTGTGTTAAGTAATAGGTTTGTAATAAACTTATATGAGAGTAACCATAGGAAACATGCTTAAACAAAGTGATTGATTAAGTCAAGAGTGGTGATCAGAAATAACTTTGGGAAGTGCCTGGGTGGCTTAGTCAGTTAAGTGTCTGCCTTCGGCTCAGGTCATGATCCCAGAGTCCTGGGATCAAGCCCCACGTTGGGCTTTGTGCTCAGTGCAGAATCTACTTGTCCCTCTCCTTCTGCCCCCCCCCCCAAATAAATAAATAAAATCTTTAACAATCAGTCAGTCAATCAATATTAACTTTTTGATCTGAGCCCAAAAGGATATTTAAACCTTTGGTTCCTTTGTCTTTACTAACAACTCAGTCAGATTCTGAAAGGAAGATGATTGCATTTTAATGATAGCCTTCATTTTGCCATCCAGTATAACAGATAAAATCTATTATGGTTTAATGGATCAGATATAGTATAGAGTAGAGAGGCGACCCAGGTTTTACCTAGCAGTATAGCCAGTAATTACAAATTTTCTGGTTTGAGTGCTTTAATTACATAAATAATCCACTGTGGAAGGATTTGCTGAGGTGCTTAATGAATCATTTCTACATCTGCAGATAAAAGTCATAAAATTTCATTTTTGTGGCTACCTGTCATAATGCGTGGCTGGCGTTAGCCTAGATTTAGGCTAGGACATTCAAAATTGTGATTGTTTACAACATATTGTAAGGAATCTATGTGTGAAGATCTATTGGTTATTTTTAATGATTCATGGTGGGGAGTGGGAGTATGTTGAGAACATATTTGAAACCTTGGAGTTTATAAGTAAGTTATATTCCCTGTTTCCAGGTAGTAAGATTATATAGGTACCATAGTTGGTTAGTGATGCTTAAAACAATTTTTTTTAAGTGGTTGTAAAGACTTAAATGTAAAACACAAAACTACAAAATTCCTGGAAGAGAACATTGGAGAAAACCTAGACGACCTTGGGTGGGGCAGTGACTTTAGGTATGATACCAAGGGTACAATCCATGAGAAACAGTTGATAGGCTGCACTTCATTAAAATTAAAAACTGTGAGAGGCTGTCAAGAAAACAACGTAAGTCACAGACTGGGAGAAAATATTTGCAAAAGACATATCTGATAAAGGATTGTTGTCTAAAATATAGGAAACTTTTAAAATTCAGCAATAAGAGGACATTCTGATTTAAAAAATGCAAAAGACCTGAAGAGATACCTCACTGAAGAAGATAATACAGATAGCATGTAAGCATATGAAAAGATGTTGGACATCATATGTTGTTAGAGAATTGCAAATTAAAACAATGACATACCATTATATACCAAGTAGAATGGCCAGTCTAACACTGACAGCCCAAATGCTGGCAAGGTGTGGAGCAACAGGAAGTTGCATTTATTGTTGGTGGGAATGCATAATGGTACAGCCACTTTGGAAGACAGTTGGTAGTTCTCACATAGTTAAACATACTCTTACCATATCATCCAACAATCACTCCTTGGTATTTACCCAAATAAATTGAAAAACTTAACATCCACACAGAAACCTGCACAGGGATGTTTTATAGCAGCTTTAATCGCCAATAATTACCAAAACTTGTAAACAACCAGGATGTTCTTCGGTAGGTGAATGGGTAAATAAACTATAGGCATCCACATGATGGAATATTGTTCAGCACCAAGAAGATGAGCTACCAAACCATGAAAAGACATACAAGACACTTATATGCATATCACTAAGTGAAAGAAGCCAATCTGAAAAGACTACATACTGTATGATTTCAACTACATGACATTCTGGGAAAGGCAAAACTATGAAGACAATAATATCAGTGGTTTCCAGGGATAAGCAAGGAGGGAAGGATGAATAAGCAGAGCACAGAGGATTTTTAGGGCATTGACACTACTCTCTATGGTACTACAGTGTTGGATATATATATAAAATCAAGAGTAAAACCTAATGTAAACTATGACCTTGGGTGATGATATGTCTGTGTGGGTTCATCGATTAGAACAAATGTATCACTGTGCCAGGGGATGTTGTTCTTGAGTGGGGACAGAGAACGCTCTTTACTTTCTGCTCAGTTTTAGCATGAACCTAAAACTGCTCTAAAATAGAAAGTTTATTAATTCCTTCTTTTAAAAAAAAGTGGTTGTAGAACTGTTTGGCTTTTCAAATATCTGAGTTCCTGCTTTGTGCTATGCTGGGTAATGCCTTCTGAAAGGTCATAGCCCAGCGGAAAAGTTCAGAATCTAATGGACTCCTGGGAAATCTTGAAAAAATAGTGGTTCCTGTTCTGGGCATTGTGAGATTTCTGATTTTCAGACCTGACTCTCATGCTTTCTATCCTGCAGTCTTTTAGAACTATAATTTGTTTGGGTAATACCTATATATTTGACAAATTCATTCCTCTTCAGAGAATGAAATAGTCTTAAGTTTTGTCCTTCATTGATGCCAGAAGATCAGCGTTGAATAGAGAAATAAGTAAATAGGAATATAATTTGCAATTTAGAGAGGATAGTTCTGTGTTCTTACTTCTTAATACCAAATATCATGATTAAAGACAATCAGAATTTCTTTTTTAAGGCATCTGAAAATCAGTGGTTTGGGTTCCAAATCTTGTTTATCTGATAAAGTATGTTATGCATTCTTTGATTTTTTTTTTTTTTTGGTCAAGGATAATTACGCTTGCTCATACTGGGTTTTGTGCATACTAAGAGGATTTTTAAAAATTTAATGTACTCTCTGAATAAGGAATATAGTCACATGGTTCAGAAGTTAAAATAATATAAAAAGTTTATATGGAGTAGCCTGTTTCTACTCTGACCTTGTTTCCTTTCCTACGGCTTCTGTAGATGACCACTCTGCTTGTTAGTCTTTCAAAGTGCTTTTTAAAAAATAGTTATTTATTTATTTATTTATTTATTTATTTATTTATTTATTTGAGACACACACAGAGAGAGAGCATGAGTGTGAGAGGCAGAGGGAGAGAGAGAATTTCAAGCAGACTCCCCAGTGAGCGCAGAGCCTGACACAGGGCTCCATCTCACGACCCCAAGATCACAACCTAAGCCGAAAGCAAGAGTTAGACACTTAACTATGCCACCCAGAAACCCCTTTCAGTGCTATTTAAAAAAGCAAATACAAGCAAATACATTATTTTAGGAGGTTGTTTTTTTCCTAGAAAAAAGATGATATGATTTATCATTCATAACTTGTTGCTTACTTAAAGAGCATGTCAGTACTTTCATGAGGATAAGGATAAAAGTTGCAATCCCTTCCTCAGTATACCAGCCCTTGGTGTGGCTGGTAAACAATCCTGAAATTACAAACTGTCTTAACTTGTCCTGAAAGGTAAATGGTTCAGGGGAGGCCAAAACCAAAATATTAGGTTAACATTTATTGACAGCTTACTGTATATTATGCTAAGTTTGCCACAACTCTGTGAAAAAGCATGTATGCTTAGCATTCCCATTTTATAGATAAGAAAATTGAGGCTCCAGAGAGGTTAAGAAACTTAGCCCATGTAATTAGTAGATATTAGTGATATGATCCAAAGCTAAACTTTGTTAAATTATGAGCATTTTTCAACATACAGAAAAGTAGAGAAACTAGTTTAATGAAATCCTGTACACCCATCACTGAGATTCAGTAGTTGTTAAGATTTTATATTTGTTTGATCTGTCCTTTTTTCTTTATTTCTTAAGTATTTAAAAAAATTTTTTTTACTTATTTATGAGAGAGATTGGAGAGAGAGCCAGGGTGTGGGTCTGGGGAGGAGCAGAGGGAGAGGGACAGGCAGCTCCACGCTGAGCACGGAGCCCAACGCAGGGCTTGATCTCAGGACCCTGAGATCATGACCTGAGCAGAAACCAAGAGTTGGACATTTAACCGCCTGAGCCACCCAGGCGCCCCTATTTAAGTATTTTAAAACAAGCCCTAGATAATCATGTTATTTTGCTTCTATGTACTAAAGTATACATCTCTAAAAAATATAGATGCTTTCTTAAATAGTGACAGTGCCATTTATTACAGTCCTCCAAATAGCTAGAATGATAAAGAAGTTGGCATGTGACCAAGACCATCAATGCAGCCTAAAGAGCACTCTCAGCAATTCGGTTATGAAAGGGTGGGGGTTTTTCACGGGGACAATGACTGACCACACTGAACTAGATAAAGGCGGTAGAGGCGTGTGGCACCCAGAACTCTCCTGATAGTGAAATGTGCCTCCTGCTGAGCTCCAGTCCCCTTCTCTAACCACTAGGTAGAATCTACATAAAAACTTAGATTTTTAAATTAATAATTTTCTTAGAGCTACATGGAGCTGTGAGTTTCAAATGTGCATTGGTTTTTGATGTGTGGGGGCATCATTTCTGATGGACTCCTAGCCTTGAACTTCCACTGTTTGTTTCAAGGTCTTTGACTTGCGTCAGTGTCACCGTCAGATGCAGCAGCAGGCGGCCACGGCGCAGGCTGCCGCCGCTGCTCAGGCAGCAGCCGTGGCTGGAAACATCCCCGGCCCCGGATCAGTAGGTGGAATAGCTCCAGCCATCAGTAAGTATGCGTTTGGCTTTTTGTTGTAAAGTGTAATAGTTGGCATTTTATCTTGATTCACTCAGTTGATTAGTTACTTTAAGCAGTAATAGAAAACTAAACTTTTTTTTTTTTTACTGGGCTAATGACATTTTTGAACTTTAAAAAACTGTTCTGTAATAGTTGCCCTTTGTCTAGGACCCTGTTTTCATTCTTTTTGTATCAAAAAGGGAATATGGGATAAAGGAGAAAGGGGGTTATTGTTAGATTATATTGATCAATCTCCTGTTTTTTTTGTTGATGCTTTTAATTCTTGCCTCACCAGCAAGGGTGGGTTGTAATCACTGACGTGCTTGGCTTTATTCTAGAAGGAAAGCATATTTCAATTTCAGAATTAGGTACCTCTCCAAGTTTTTCTTAAGTATGCTAAGCATGGAGAGAAAACTAAGTGAGGGTGGTATTTTGATAACTTGTAGACTTTTTTTTAATTTTAGGGTAAAATTGAACTGTGTGCCAGGTTTCACACTGATGGGGAATTTTTTACTGCAGAGTTAAACTCCTGACTATAGACTTTTATGATGGAAACACGTGGCACCCATCTTCCACGTCTGAAGGCATAACTAGTGATTCATTCAACCCCTGTTCTTAACCTCTTCAGTGTGGTAAGCAAATCACACTGGCTAAGAAAACTGCAGTGGCCCTGCAGGTTTCTCTACAGCACATGCAGACTCCTCCCACTAGATGCACTGTGATATTGATGAGTGGAGATTGACTAGATGACTGTATGTTCTGACTGGAAAATTAGCTGCAGAATCTCCTTTGTGATTTATGTTCAGGAGTTTACAGTGTAGAGGTAGATAAGACATACTCATCTAGAGAATTTGACTTTTTAATTTAGAGAATTTGACTTTTTAAAAAAATTTGAGCATCTAAACCATTAATTCGCTAGTTTTGATGTTATAAACATGTTTTTGCTAAAGAATCCAGAACTGTTATTAAATTTCTCATTCTTAACTACTGCCCCCATTGAGTAATTGCACAGTGTCTCTGTGACACTGTGAAATTGAGAGACAGACATCCTTTGGGTCATCCAAGAATTCTTAGTGGAACCAGGACTATTAACTGTCTCACTGTTAGTCAGGTCTTACTTTGAACGAGGCTGTTCAGACAGACAGTACGGTTCTTAGAACCAACCTGTGGACATGTGCTACCTCTTAAAAACAAGTTGTTTTTTTTTACCCTTCACCTCTCCTTCTAAAGAGAAACATAGGTGGGGTGTTGGCGGATTGTGGTAACTTACTTTATAATTGCTGATAGCTAGAAGACTCATGTGGAATGTGAATTGTCTTAACCAAAAGTTTTCGGTCCGAAAGTGTAGATCTACACGTACTTCTTGGCACTTTGACAGAGAAGTTATATGCTGGGGAGCATGAAGTAAATAAAGCTGGTCACTTTGTTAATAAGGTGTAGGGAGGTTGGAAGATACCAGCCTGTCCCTCTGACGTCTTCCAAATCCTCTCTGTTAGGTTTGTCAGCGGCTGCCGGCATTGGCGTTGATGACCTCCGTCGCTTGTGCATACTCAGGATGAGTTTCGTGAAAGGCTGGGGACCGGATTACCCGAGACAGAGCATCAAAGAAACGCCTTGCTGGATCGAGATTCACTTACACCGGGCCCTCCAGCTCTTAGATGAAGTGCTTCACACCATGCCTATTGCTGACCCACAGCCTTTAGACTGAGGTCTTTCACTGTCGGGGCCCTTAACATTGTCAGGATGGTGGACTATGAAATACAATCCTGTTTATAATCTGAAGATATATTTCACTTTTGTTCTGCTTTATCTTTTCATAAAGGGTTGAAAAGTGTGTTTGCTGCCTTGCTCCTAGCAGACAGAAACTGGATTAAAACAATTTTTTTTTTCCTACTTAGAACTTTTCAGGCATGGCTCAGAGCTTGAAGATCAGGAAAAACACATTAAATCCTCACCAGTTATGTATGAAGGAATCATTCCAGTGCTGGAAAATTTAGCCCTTTAAAATGTCTTAGAGACTTTTATATGCAGAACATTGATACATGTGTTATTCTACAGAATAAATTCAATATTGCTGATTTTAAAGGAGAGAAGTTCTCAAAGTTAATTCACCTATGTTATTTTGTGTGCGAGTTGTTATTGTTGAACATACTTTACTCCAAATATTGTGCCATGTGGGTGAGTTAATTTTACCAAGAGCAACTTCACTCTGTGTTTAAAAAATAAGATAGTTAATGTATTATAACCTTTTATCCAAAATATTTTTTTGCAAGTTAAACTAGTGAAGATGATTTCAATTCAGATGGTCTTGCAACTTCAATTTTATTTTTGCCAAGGCAAAACACTAATCTGTGTGTATATTGAGAATTCCTTACAATTACCCCACAAAGAAATACCATTTAAAATTACATTTGTTATCCCTGTTGGATAACTATTTATCAAGAAATATTCTTTTGCCCTGTTATACAGTAGATGTATTCTATATTTCTAGGCACAAGGTTGGTCACTAAGAAGCCTAGAAGAGGAATTTCTTTCCTTCATGAATTCATAAGGAAAGGTTTTGTATTTTTAAAAACACTAAAAGCAGTGTCACTCCACTTAGTATCTCACTGTTCTACAAAGGTGGCAATGCTTAAACTAAGTGAGTATTTTGGAAACTGCTAAATTCTATGTTGAATACTGTGCAGAATAATGGAAACATTACAGTTCATAATAGGTAGTTTGGGTATTTTTGTACTTGATTTGATGTGTGACTTTTTTTTCGTATACTGTTTAAATCATGTATGTTATGACATTGTTTAAAATTCAGTTTTTGTATCTTGGGGCAAGACTGCAAACTTTTTTATACCTTTTGGTTATTCTAAGCCCTTTGCCATCAAAGATCATATCAGTTGGCAGTGACTTTGTATAGAGAATTTACGTAGAAAAGTTGCAAATGTATTGACTGTACCACAGACACAATATGTATGCTTTTTACTTAGCTAGTAGCATAAATAAAACCGAATCTCAACATACAAAGTTGAATTCTAGGTTTGATTTTTAAAAAAGTTTTGTTTTCTTTTGCACTTTTGAGTTCAACCTCAGAAGCAAGACACCTTCTAAATGACAGGCAGCAGCCCATACTATCCGGCAGCTTTGGTTTCCCTCACACTCTGCCAGGACTTCCCCGTGGACATTATGTATCCAGTGTAGAGTTGATTGTTGTTGTTGTTGTTGTTTGCTTTTTTTCCAGCTTTTATTTTACTGTAGCAAAATAGGCCTGATTGTCTACAAGATAAATAGGTTGTCTACAGGATAAATAGTGTGAAATAAAACCAAGGGTTATCTTTCAGATCCTTTTACTTTTTGCTTGGAGGGCCTTCATAAGTGTAATAAGATTCTTTAA